CACTTTAACACTGATTTTTTTTCCTCCCCACATTGTTCTCACTTGTACTTTTTCTATTCAATCTTATGCATGTAGTACATTTCTGATTTATTTAGGATATTTTTAGTAGTACAAGCAAGGTGTGCTTGAAATGTAACCCTTTTCAGCCATAGGATATAGTCTGCCCAGAGTTCCCCAGTGGTAACCTGTGTGAGATAGACCTATGCAATCTTTTTCCTTTGCATTTGTGTGTGATGGGGTGTGTATACATGTATGTGTAGGTGTAATGCTACTGACAACCCAAGAACCTTATTCACCTGTACAAGAAAACTGCACAGTTGTATTTACTACATCTAATTTTAAATAATTCGAAACAATCTTAAGAGCCAGTAAATGGCTCAGTGTGTCAAGGCACTTACCATATAAGTCAGACAAAGTTGTCCTATGACCTCCACACAGGCACCATGGCACACACATTTCCCCCATAATAAATAAATTAATTAATAAAAGAGTTTAAAAAATTAGAACAACTTTATGTCCTTTAATCAGATTGGCTCAATAAACTATGACATCTAGTCTATGAATACCATTGTATATCCATATACATAAACTTATAATTTTTCTCAATTACAGAAAAATATGTATCATATGATAACAAGGATGTTAAAAAAAGTTTAGTTTTTTTATATTAATAACATAAAGGTCATTACTTCAAAGGCTATGCTTGAATATTTAGATGACAAAAGCAGGTCCTGTCACTCAGGAGCCACAGAGTGCACTCCAACAAGAAAGTGTGGCTGTGTGTCTAGCTCACTCTCTTCTTTCTGTGGTTCCTTGTCTTCTCCACCGTGTTCATCTGAACAGTGTTCCTCTGGACCCATTTTTGGGAAGAGAAATGGCTTCAAAGTAAAGCCATAGTTGCCTGGAAATGTAGAGTGGGGAAAATCCATATTCTACCCAGATGAATGGGAATCGTGGGTCTGTGTGCTCCAGAGCTTGAGTCAGGCTGGGTCAGGTCAACAGAAGTCTTTGGGGTAGTTCAGGAAGCAGAGTGTGTTGTGGTAAAGTTCAGTAGAGAAAACCTAAAGAAAAGTCAAGCCACCACTGTTCATTCAAAAGACTTGATCCAAAGAGAGGTCCTGACCATCAGTGCACATCCATGTAGGAGACAATGGGGAAAGTGAAGTTGAAGGTGAAGGAAGACGTGAGAAGCTTCGACCAATGTTAAAATGTGACCCAACTGTGTTCTGTGAATGACTTTGTAAACAGCTGTTCAGAGAAGCGGCTGACGTGGGCAAAAGACTATTGTAGCTTACTGTTTATACTTTAGTATTATTACATAGTATTAATACATGTTGTGTTAATATTAATATATAATTAGCTCTGTAAGTTTGGCTGTATGCCTACATTATCCATAAGTAAATATTTGGCTCATTGTTATTAGACATAAATTCAAACATCAGCTAGTTTGTAAAAAAAATGCAGTTTATTTTGAAAAAGTATGTTTTTATCATTCTCTTGTGACAATTTTTTAAAATGTGATTTAGTTCAAACTAAAAACTCATTTTCCCAATTTCTTGCTTTTCTAGACCATTGTCAACATTAAGAAGGAACTGTGGGGAACTCGTGACTTCATCAATACTCTGCACCAGGAAAGAAGGTAGGAGCCACATGTGGGTGTGTGAGAAGGGAGGAGCCACATGTGGGTGTGTGAGAAGGGAGGAGCCACGTGTGGGTGTGTGAGAAGGGAGGAGCCACGTGTGGGTGTGTGAGAAGGGAGGAGCCACACGTGGGTGTGTGAGAAGGGAGGTGCCACGTGTGCATGTGTGAGAAGGGAGGAGCCACACGTGGGTGTGTGAGAAGGGAGGAGCCACACGTGGGTGTGTGAGAAGGGAGGAGCCACACGTGGGTGTGTGAGAAGGGAGGAGCCACGTGTGCATGTGTGAGAAGGGAGGAGCCACGTGTGCATGTGTGAGAAGGGAGGAGCCACACGTGGGTGTGTGAGAAGGGAGGAGCCACACGTGGGTGTGTGAGAAGGGAGGAGCCACATGTGGGTGTGTGAGAAGGGAGGAGCCACACGTGGGTGTGTGAGAAGGGAGGAGCCACACATGGGTATGTGAGAAGGGAGGAGCCACGTGTGGGTGTGTGAGCAGCAGCTGAGACAAGACAGAAGCTCTGCCCTGAGCTTTTGTAGAGACATTTCCTACAGAAAAAAAAATGAAACTCTTTTCTTTTTTTTTTTGAAAATTGGGAGAAATGATTTAAGCAAAGAAATTGTACCTTTCAATTTGAAGATTAAAAAGCAACCTAATTTGGTATGAGTAGTTACACATAATGAACATCAGGTAGGAGCTACAGTATGGTTTTACCTTTGATCACTTGAGGTCATTTCTTGAAAGAAGGGTTAGAGGGGCTGTGTATGGCTCAGTTGAAAAAGTTCTTGCCATATAAGCATGATGGCCAGAGTTTGATCCTCAGGAGCCATATTTTGCAAGGAGAGAACTGATCACTGGAAGTAGTCCTCTGATCTCCACATGCTCACCATGGCACATGTGCCCATCTAAACACATACCACACATACCAACACACACACACACACACACACACAATGTCACCCCCCACACATAATAAATAAATGGATGGAGAGAGAGAGAGAACTAAAACTCTTTCCAGGCATTGTAGGGCACGCCTTTAATCCCAGCAGAGGCAGGTGGATCCCTCTGAGTTGAAGACCAGACTGGTTTGCAATGGGTTCCAGGGTGACCAGGGCTACATAGTGAGACCCTGTGTCAAAATAGAAAAGTCTTAAGATAGTTGTTTGAAAATAATTTGAAGCTATGCTGTTCTCTCTTATGAAATCTGTATCTACTGTATACATCACTTGGTAGCCTAATAAAGTATTTATCACTACAGAGTATATGAAAGTATCAGACGGATTTAATTTAAGAAATGAAAACTGGAGGCTACATCTTTGCTGTGTGGATTACCATTTTTATTGATGTTTATATGAAACTGTTGATAGCATACCTCTCCCATGTGCATGTGGCATGACATCAAAGGCACTAGTTGGATAAGCAATTTGAGATCACTAACATTTAATTCCTGGAACAATCAATAAAGACGCAACTTCGAGGGACTGAAGAGAAGCACCACAGTGAAAGAGTCTCGAGATGGACAATTAACAGCCAGCTTTGCCAAGTCCCTGGTAGTGTGGCAAGGCCCCAGTCTCTGGTCACACCCTGAAAGAGCATTATCAGATTGCTGGTGATTCCCCTTTACTCTTCAGTATTCTGACTCCATGAAACTGTGTGTTCACTTCACTGTGTTTAACCTTTCTGGGAGCATTTAGACTCCTTCTGACGGCCTCATACACACATAGCAGATGTGAAACTTTAAAAGGGCAGACTTTAGCTCATTTGGAAGGAATTATTTCTCAGATTATAAGAAGTTGTTAACAGACATTTGCTGGAAAGCCACAGGCTTCAAACTACTGAAAATAGTTGTAGCAAGTAGATTGTAGCTAGTAGAACCATTTATGAGAATCCTCCCTTTAAAATAAAAAATAGAGAACAAGATGTGGTGGCACATGCCTTTAAACCCAGCACTTGGGAGGCTCAGGCAAATGGATCTCTGTGAGTTCAAGGTCAGCCTGGTCTAGTATAGGGAGTTCTAGGTTGCTACACAGTGAGATTCTGTCTCAAAAACAGAACTCAGAGACACAGCTTGCTTGCTTTCCCCTGGGTTGTTGAAGAATGAGGAACTCTAGCTGTCCAAGCATGGTGGATAGGCTAGAGAAGGGAAAGGATGTGTGGTGTGGACCACATGGAAGAGAGAGATTAGTGAACAAAAACAAACACAACACTGTGGTGTTGAGGGCCCTGTCCACACACCTCTGAGGATACTGCTTTATGATTTATATAATCCCCTAGACTGACTCCATTGTGGAAAATCTACCATATAAAATACTTGGTAGCACCAGGCCAGTGGTGCAAGCACCGGGCCAGTGGTGCAGTGGATAACCAGTCTGACTACGGATCAGAAGTAAAATACTTGGTACTCCAACTATAATTAGGATTTTAGAATCAGGCTTCCCGTGTACCTGGAAGTTTAAAGTTCCTGATCAGAGACACTTGCTTTGGGTGGGAGCTCAAGCTTTATTCCAAAACCCTTTCCAGACATTACAATACTTAGGAATTTCAAAGGCTCTGATATGGAAGAATGTTCACTGTCAGAGAGTTTACTCCTGTAAATTTTAACATTCCAACAGCACTGATCAAAGAGCAAAACCACACTAATTGTATATCTACTATGTGACAGAACCAGGAAATGTGGTGACAAGGTAAGGGCGTTTCCAGAATTGCAAAATAATGTTCAATGAAATAATTTAGAAATTGATAAATAAAACAGGAAGTATACAAGTGTATAAGCTCAGAAATTGAGGCCAGAGAAGTTAAAAAAACAAGCTTGATAGCAATTAGATAAAGAGAAAAACTATACAGAAAAACAAAGAAGGGAAGGGTTCGGGCAGTGCCAAGGACGAGACTGGAGCTCTACTTCATAGGGAGGTAATAGGGAAAACAAGGAAAGCCTTGTTGGACATGTAATGTGTTATCATAGATCACAGGAAGTAAGGAGGTGACCCAAGCAATAACCCCAGGGGACAAAAGGGTCTTTCTGCACAGAGCAGAAAGAGCAGAGACTTGAGGGAAGAGTGTAGATGAACAGATCTGTGATTTAAGAACTGTGTGCCTTCTCTGTAGACTTCATGCTAAGGACATTACCTTCCCAAATGAGGTATTTCTAGACACAATAATGAATAAGGTCAATTTGAAAATGCAAGTTGCTGGTAAACAAACCATACTGTCAAAAGTAACCCTAACAGGCCCGGTGAGTATCAAGTTAGGTATTGATGGAGTTTGATGACAACAAGGGCACAGACTACCTCCCAAGATGGCCCTCGAAGCTCCTACTAGACTATAGGTGTGAGTTTCCATTGTTACTCAAAACTGTTTCCTTTCCAGGCTCCTTAGAAAACAGTTAAATAGATACAAACACAAATTGCAAGACACATACACCTTACAGGAGGAACAGAATTGCAGATTTGAAATAAAGATTCGGGAGCTCGCAACCAACCAGGATAACATATGGATCAAGCTACAGCAGATGAGACAAGACCTACAGGTACAAATGTGAGAGCCACCAGCTACCTGGAGTACCTGGAAATCTAACCTGAAGTGTGCTCTGCTCCGGGTGGGGGTGGGGGTATGGTGGCTTCACAAAGCTTCACACATCACTTGGATCAGTGTCTTCTCCTCCACCCTCCTCACTCTCCCCCAAGTCTTCTCTCACTCCTATCATCCATAATGAGGAAACAAGAGAACCAAGTGTTCCCATACAGCATTTGGTCTCAGGATCGCTTCATACATCATTTAAATTTTTTGAACTCTGTCTTAGGAGCCTTTATATCTGTGGGTTATATCTGCTGATATCCCATCAAGACAAAAAATTGAGAAGTGTTTCAAAAACATAGTCATTAACTAACTGAGATACGAAATTGATAAACTACTGTATGTGCAATGTTTTCATTTCAGCTGGGTGTTTTTAGAGCCTGGAAGAGTATCAGAGGTCTGTTTCCTTTGTTAATATCTGTAATATCTGACTTAATGAAAGACAGCTGTTCTTTCCTCATTTCGAGCAATCTATTATGCTGGGTTCATTTAAGGCATGTGAAGAAACCCAGTCTCATGTAGTGGTGCAGTTAAAGGGAAGAAAGAAACCTTTCTGTACCCTTTCACATAACTAAGGTATTATCCACTGACACAACATCAGACATAAAAAGCAATTGTTTTTTAAAGGATAGGTGCATTATGAAATCTAAAACCAGATGTTTCATATTTGACTTTATTAAAATCCCGGTGTTGTAGCTGATCTCTGAGTGGAACTATCCGTGCTTCATTTTGTAACATATATTGGCCACAAGATGTGGAATATTGATTCCCTGGGTTATGCTGAACTTCCTAGAACTTGCCAATTTTATTATACAAGACTTTTTTTTTTAAAGAAAGAAAGATAAGAAAAAAATCTCACTTTCAGTTTCCCCAATGATGCTGTCAGAAAAAAAAACATTCAAGAATTGAACAGTTATTCCACTCACCCATGGCAGATACAAGCTTTCTAAAATTTTAATTATTGCTTGAACTCAACTGTTATAAATGACAGCAAATAAAGTTAATAATTTTCTTTGCAGTGTCATGTTCATTTGCTTCTTCTTCCCCCACCCCCAGAAAATCATTTCCTAATACCCCGGTCTAGCTGGCTATAATCTGTCAGATTTCCCTTGGCACAAGAAGTAACATGTGTGTTTCAGGACACATCTGAAATACTATACGGGGGCTTTCCGTTTCACTACACACAATATTGAAAAGACAGATTATTAAGAAATCTGTAACACTATTCCACAAGATATTACACAAAGCTGTCTATGTTTTAACTGGTAGTATATGAGTTTTGTGTGTTAATGTCCCCCGACTCATGCTGAGGCAGTGATGGCTACATTTATTGCTGGTTGTGAACCATTCATGCACACGCCAGTGCGATAGACAGACAACTCAAAGAATGATTATAGAAATAATTTTACTCCACAGATTCCTACAAGAATCCCTAGGACCCTGAGGACCCCGAGCCCAACCTTAAAACAGTGGACCACATCCCTAAATTCTTGTACCTCCAGCTTCTCATGAAATCCCTCAAAGCACATCTCTGAGGCCTATCACTAGAAGAATGTTTTATTGTAATAATCGGTGCCTGTCAATCACCACAAGTGTATGTTTTCAGAAATTCCTTATGACACCTTTAGGGACAGACATCTTCAGGACAAGATGGGTTTCCCAAATTTCTGGTGCTATTCCTGCGACATTTACAACCTGAGCTACTCCAGTCTCAAGGAGTTTTAAATTCTTATTGAACAGAATATAAAATAAAATTACTGAAATATCAAGACTGAAGCAAAAAGCATGCCTCCACTGTTGGAATGTCGAAATGTAATGCATTTGTGTAACGCACTGAAATGTATTGTGTTGTGAAATGTAATGCATTGTGTTGAAATGTAATGCAAAGTGAGTTACTTTTTCTTAAGGGAGTTTTTCTTATGCAGGCTGTATTGCAACCATGCCATCCTTCACTTTCATCTCAAAACACAGCATCCAAGATTGCCCATCCTTTACCTGATGATGGGCTATGGAGAGGAGGGAACTCGTCCCACATCAAGAGTGTCACTAGGGTTGGTCCGGAATGGGAACTTCTCCCTAACTCTACCAAGGCTGACAGAAATCACAAAAGTCAAGCAAGTTCGGGTGAAGCTCTACCAGACTCTGAACCCCCAGATATCATTTTGCAGAGTACCAGGACACAAAATCCCCCACAAAAGATGCTAAGGGAAGTCCATACCTCCCCATCAGCTTGCCAGGAGGTGCTGAAAGACAATCCCCATATTCTCCCTGCTGAAGTGAGCAGCCATGCTCTGGCACCTTCAGCAGGGGAAGAGACAGACCACATCAGTGAGAAGACTGATGTGGAAGAAGAGGGACTACAAACACTGCTGCCCAGACTCCTGGATGCCTTCGACCTAGACACAACATCAGGTGAGGTGCACTTCGGATTTTGTCATTTGAGTTTCTGTGTTGTGATCATTGTTTATCTGTTTGTCTGTCTGTTTGAGACAGGGTCTCATGGTGTAGCCCTGGTTGACCTGTCTGTCTAGACCAGGCTGGCCTTGAATTCACAGAGGTATACCTCTGCCTTGAGGAGTGTTGATCAGGTAAGGTTTTCACAACCAAAAGGGAGGGATGGCCAGGAACTCAGACTACCTGTTAAAACACTGAGATTCATAACATTACTCAGCTTTGGAACTCAGTTCCTGCCGTTGGCTAACTCCTAAGATCGCCATGAGCACTAAAGGTTGTCAAACACATGAGATTTTACTATAACATCTACCACATAGCATTCAGTAAATATGTATTATTCTGAAGGTGCAATTATTGTTAGTAAAGACAAATCATGCATAACTGAGCAGCCCAAAGTCACCATTTTAAAATGAGGATGATAATACTCCTGTTTTGGCATGGCTGAGTGAGGGGCATCTAGGTTGCTTCCAGGTTCTGCCTATTACAAATAATGCTGCTATGAACACAGTTGAATGGAAGTCCTTGTTGTATGAATGTGCATCTTTGGAAGTCTTTGATGTATGAATGTGCATCTTTTGGGTATATGCTTAAGAGTGGAATTGCTGGATCTTGAGGTAGACTGATTCGCATTTTCCTGAGAAACCACCATACTGATTTCCCACAGTGGCTGTACAAGTTTGCACTCCCACAAGCAATGGAGGAGTTTTCCCCTTTCTCCACATCCTCTCCAGCATAGACTGTCATTGGTGTTTTGTTTGTTTGTTTTTCATTTCAGGAGGGCAGTATCAGGTAATAACAAATGTCACCAGTTTATTCATGCATCATCTTCTCCCCCCCTTTTTTTATTTAAGTTAAAACAAGCTTGTTTCACATGTCAATCCCAACTCCTTCTCCTTCTCCTCTCCCCCTCCCCACCAGGCCCATCAGGCCCCCACCCAATCTCCACTCTGATACCCAGGGAAAGTAAGGCACTCCATGGTGGATCTCTAGAGTATGTCATTTCATCCAGAGCAGGGCCTAGGCCCTCCCACAAGAGTCCAGGCTGAGAGAGCATCCAGATGGGCTCTCAAAGTCTATTTGGATGCCAGGGATAAATACTCACCAAGGACCCATAGATTACCTAGGCCTCCCCACTGACACCCACATTCAGGGGGCCTGTGTCAGTCCTATACTATCCACACAGCCATCAATCTGGAGTCCAAGAGCTCCCCCTTGTTCAGGTCAACTGTTTCTGTGGGTTAAACCAGCCCAGTCTTGATTCCTTTGCTCATCAGTTCTCCCTTTCAGTTCAGGAGTTCGGTTCAGTGTTCAGCTGTGGGTGTCTGCCTCAGCTTCCATCAGTTGCTGGATGAAGGTTCTGGTTCCCAGACTCTCTGGCCATAGGATTGTAGGCTAGCACTCCCCAGATCTATGTCTAAAATCCATATATGAGAGAGTACATGCCATGTTTCCTTTTTGTGACTGGGTTACCCCACTCAGGATGGTTTCTTCTAGTGCCATTCATTTGCCTGCAAATTTCAAGATCCCATTGTTTTTTTTCTGCTGAATAGTACTCCATGTGTAAATATTCCACGTTTCCTCTATCCACTCTTCACTTGAGGAGCATCTAGGTTGCTTCCAAGTTCTGGCTATTACAAATAATGCTGCTATGAACATAGTGGAACAGATGTCCTTGTGGTATGAATGGGCATCTTTTGGATATACGCCTAAGAGTGGAATTGCTGGATCTTGTGGTAGACTGATTTCCATTTTCCTAAAGAATCTCCATACTGTTTTCCAAAGTGGCTTTACGAGTCGGCACTCCCACCAGCAATGGAGGAGTTTTCCCCTTTCTCCACATCCTGTCCAGAATGAACTGTCATTGGTGTTTTTGATTTTAGCCATTCAGACAGGAGTAAGATGGTATCTCAGAGTTGTTTAGATTGCATTTCCTTGATGGCTAAGGATGTTGAGCACTTTTATGTGTCTTTCAGCCATTTTAGATTATTCTGTTGAGAATTCTCTATTTAGTTCTGTACCCCACTTTTTAATTGGGTTATGTGGTGTTTTGGTGACTAGTTTCTTGAGTTTTTTATATATCTTGGAAATCATCACTCTGTCAGATGTGGGGTTAGTGAGTGTCTTTTTCCATATGTGGGTTGCCATTTTGTCTTGTTGGCTGTGTTTGCCTTACAGAAGCTTCTCAGTTTCAGGAGGTCCCATTTAACTGTTGATCTCAGTGTCTGCGCTACTGGTGTTATGTTCAGGAAGCAGTCTCCTGTATCAATTCACTCAAGAGTACTTCCCATTCTCTCTTCTAAGAGGTTCAGTATGGCTGGATTTATGTTGAGGTCTTTGATCCATTTGGACTTAAGTTTTGTGCATATTGATACATGTGGATCTATCTGAAGTCTTCTACATGCCAGCATCCAGTTATGCCAGAACCATTCGTTGAAGACGCTTTCTTTTTTCCATTGTATAATTTTAGCGTCTTTGTCACAAATCAGGTGTTCCTAGGTGTGTGTCCATATCAGGGTTTTCAATTGGATTCCATTTGTCTACCTATCTATTTTTGTGCCAATGCCAAGCTGTTTTTAGGACTATAGCTCTGTAATAGAGCTTGAAGTAAGGGATGGTGATGCCTCCTGAAGTTCCTTTATTGTACAGCGTTGTTTTGGCTATCCTGAGTCTTTTGTTTTTCCATATAAAGTGGAGAATTGCTCTTTCAAGGTCTGTGAAGAACTGTGCTGGTATTTTAGTGGGGATTGCTTTGAATCTGTACATTGCTTTTGGCAAGATTGCCATTTTTACTATGTTGATCCTACCTGTCCAAGAGCATGGGAGGTCTTTCCATTTTCTGGTATCTTCTTTAATTTCTTTCTTTAAAAACTCAAAGTTCTTGTTATACAGGTCTTTCATTTGTTTGGTTAGTGTTATCCCAAGGTATTTAATGTTGGTTGTGGCTATTGTAAAGGGAGATGTTTCTCTGATTTCTTTCTCAGCCCATTTATCATCTATATATAGTAGAGCTACTGATTTTTGTTTTTAGTTAATCTTGTATCCTGCCACTTTGCTGTAGGTATTTATCAGCTGTAGGAGTTCCCTGTAGAGAGCTTTGAAGTGCCGCACCCTTAAGATGGCACTGGCTTCTGCCTTCTGCTAGCCCAACAGCAAGTGCTCTCTGATAAACAACTCCTTAAGAGCCCCACCTGTATTTGGTTAAGGCTGGGTATCAGGCTTGTTTCTGAGTACGTAGACCTATCTGCATGTTACACGTGGCATACTGGGGTTGGCCGCCCAAGGGCTTTTAAGGTGTGGGTTGGCACTCCCTGGGGTCGGAAGATTGTTCAAGGTTCCTGAATAAACTGCTTAAAGAAGAGTCTGAGTGTTGTGCCTTCCTTGCTGGTCGAGGCAGGCGCGACAGTTGTAGAATTTTTTGGGTCACTTATGTAAACTATCATACCATCTGCTAATAGTGAAAGTTTGACTTCTTCATTTTCAATTTGTATCCCCTTGACCTCCTTTTGTTGTCTTGTTGCTCTAGCTAGAACTTCAAGTACAACATTGAAGAGATCTGGAGAGAGTGGACAGCCTTGTCTTGTTCCTGATTTTAGAGGAATTATGTTGAGTTTCTCTCCACTTAGTTTGATGTTGGCTGTTGGTTTACTGTATATTGCTTTTATTATGTTTAGGTATGTTCCTGTTATCCCTGATCTCTCCAAAACCTTTATCATGAAGGGGTGTTGGATTTTTTTCAAAGGCTTTTTCAGCATCTAGTGAGATGATCATGTGGTTTTTCTTCCTCAATTTGCTTCTGTGGTGGATTACATTGATGGATTTTGTATGTTGAACCATTTCTGCATCCTTGGAATGAAGCCTACTTGAACATGGTGTATGATTTTTCTGATGTGTTCTTGGATTTGATTTGCCACCATTTTTTTATTTTTTATTTTTAAATTTAAATTAGAAACAAGATTGCTTCACATGTCAATTCCAGGTCCCTCTCCCTTTCCCTCTCCTCCTCCCATGCCCTCCCACCAACCCTCCCCAAACATCACTTCATTTCCCCAGGGAGGGTGAGGCCCTCCATGAGGGTGTCCATAGTCTGTCATTTCATCCAAGGCAGGACCTAGACCCTCCCCCAAGAGTTCAGGGTGAGAGTGCCTCTCTCATTGTTGGATGGGAGTCCAAAGTCCATTTGTATACCCAGGATAAATACTGATCTACTACCCAAGGCTCAATAGATTACCTAGGCCTCCTCACTGACACCAACATTCAGGGGATCTTGATCAGTCCCATGATGGATTCCCAGGCATCAGCCTGGGATTCAAGATCTAACCCTTGTCAGGTCAGCTATTTCTGGGGGTTAAACCAGCCCAGTTTTATTCCCTTTGGTCATCAGTCCTCCCTCTCTGTTACTGGCTTTCTTGAGTTCAGCTCAGTGCTTAGCTGTGAGAGTCTGCCTCTGCTTCCATCAGCCACTGAATGAAGGTTCTGTTTCCCAGACTCTCTGGCCATGGGATTGTAGGCTGGCACTCCCCAGATCTATATCTAAAATCCATATATGAGAGAGTACATGCCATGTTTCTCTTTTTGTGACTGTGTTACCTCGCTCAGGATCGTTTCTTCTAATGCCATCCATTTGCCTGCAAATTTCAAGATTCCATTGTTTTTTTTCTGCTGAATAGTACTCCATTGTGTAAATGTACCACATTTTCTCTATCCACTCTTTGGTTGAGGGGCATCTAGGTTGCTTCCAAGTTCTGGCTATTACAAATAATGCTGCTATGAACATAGTGGAACAGACATCCTTGTTATATGAATGGGCATCTTTTGGATATATGCCTAAGAGTGGAGTTGCTGGGTCTTGTGGTAGGTTTATTCCCATTTTTCTGAGGGATCTCCATACTGATTTCCAAAGTGGATTTGCCTCCATTTTATTGAGTGTTTTCCCATCAATGGTCATGAGGGATATTGGT